CTAGAAAAAAATAAAAATATCATTTCTATAATTAATTTCTTTAAATATTTAAAATCTGTTAAAGTTATGTCTTAGTTCTAGTTTGTTACCTGAATGTGAGTCAACCATTAATGAGTACAAAGATGCTTATGTTAAACTTCTACGAGTGTCACCTAAAGTACATACTCTTATCAAGCATACATGTGAATTTCTTTCGGTTATGTTGAATTCCGAACAAAATAAAGAATTAGATTTTTGGTCTGAATAGGCTTGTTCATTATGATTTTAAACAGTTTTGAAAGAGTGGATACAAAGTTTCTGGCAGCCTTAAAGACTATCCACAAAGTCTGCTTAAAGCAACTGTTACCTACAACTTTAAAACTTATAATATAAATGTAAACATTAATTTGTGTTATTTAAAACATTCTCTAATTAAAAAACAATTGAATATATACCAAAAGATCAATTGCAAGATTTTTTATTTGTCAAGATAAGTAACTTCTACTTGAGTGTTTTCATACTAATAATACAAATAATTTTAGAAAAATCATGGTGATCAGAGTTTGGGAACCATATTATCCTCGAATTAGGGCTTTAAGTTCCAAATAAATGTTAGGGAAGGGGGCAATAATAACACTTGAAAAAAACTCTAACATTATGAGCTCGACTAAATTTCATTTGTAAAATTCTCATTTAGTAAAAAAACATTTTAATGATCAAAAGGTATGAATTTGTCAAGTTGACAAATTCATACCTTTCAAATTTTTTTGGTTGCCATTTTTCAGGCCTTCTCGTAAGAGGTGTGCGATCGCACTCCTTATATGACCATGCATATAGTTCTTTGTTTTAACTACTTGACCACAGCTCATTGCAAGTTTTGATAATTAGCATTTATAAATTGCGCTAAAAAAAAAATTTTTTCAAAACAAGTGCACTACTTCAGCAATTTTTTCAAAATAATTTTACGATCAATAGTTTTTTATTCATTACAAAAATGGTTTTTGCATGCGCTCACAAAAGTATCCATAATTTTACTTAAAATAAATGCTTTTGCAAAAACTTTAAAAGAAACCGTCCTTAAACAATTCAATTGTTTTCTTTTATCGAAGAAAGCGATCATAATGTTTAATCTTGGTTTCTTTTCTGTTTTTAGCAATTACATTAAAAGTTTAAAGCAAAAGATTTCATTATAAATAAAATTGTGCATGCTTTTTTTTTAATTTTCTTATTTTCCATAAAGTGAAATAATATTTGTTTGCATATTAAAAACACTTTTAAAAGTTTTTTTATTGTGCATTCATCATTAATTTGCTTGCGCTTTGCAAATATGTAAAAAAAAAGTTTTTGAAAAAAAACAATTGAATAAATTTACCAAACATCTTTGATATATTTGATAACTTATTAACTAGAATAAAAATTATTTGAAATTTGTTTAACATAAATCTCTTAAAATAGGTGTTTGTCAATAAATAAAGATACGCAAGTTAACATTCATTTAAAAAACGGTACGTCACGCCCTGGGATAAGAAATAGTTGGCAAATGCGACTGTTTCAAGATTATTGTAATTCTTTTTTTTAGTAAATAATTTCTTTATTAGAAATTATATTTTCATGATAAAACGGTTTGTAATTATTTTTTGATAGCTTCTGTACTCATTTTGCCTTAAACTCTAATCTGAATATTTTTTTCAACGATTGATTTTATTAAGTTGCATTAAAGTACTCAGGAAATTTTGTGGCAGTTTAATTGTAATTATGGAATCAATTCAATTAAAAATGGCGTTTACATTTGCTTTGTTTTTTTTTTTTTAGCGTATTTTTTAAACGCGCTAATTGTCAAAACTTGCAAAGAACCGTGGTCAAGTTGTTCAAACAAAGAACTATATGCATGATCATATAAAGCGTCCAATCGCACGCCTCTCACGAGAAGGCCTGATTTTTAAACGATAAGAATTTTTTTTTAGATAAATTAGTTTTTCTAATGAATTTCAATCAGTTTTAAGAAACTGCAAAAAAAAAAGTTATTTTTTTCTTCCTTCTATATTTGGGACAGTGGGTCTCGATTTTTCAGGTGTATATTGTTCCTAGGCTCATATCACTGTAGTTTTTTATAAAACATTTTAATTTGATACCTGTACCATTACAAATTTTAAAGTTTGCACCATCTCTAGAAGTTACCTATCTTGAACACCAAAAATCCATAACCTGCCCTTTTAACCCTATTCAAAGTATTGCAGTTTCAAAAATACAAACCGTTTCTGGTGAAGATTTTTTTTCAAATAAATTATTTTTGTTACGGCGTGTCTACGGAAGAAAGCAAAGTACTTAGATGCTCTTAAAACTTTAGGTGATTCAGTACCACTATCTGATGAGCTGTTAAATATACTGAAAATATGTCTGTGACAGGGCTGAACAAGAAGAATCAGTTTATTCCGCTTAAGTCTGGTAGATTCAGCAAGAAAGCGTTACAAGCAAATAAAGATTCGCTAGTTCTACACATTAATAGAGCTAATTATGAAGCTTTTATCAAAAACTATCATATCTAGCAGTGAATAAATCACCAAGTTCTTTTGGGAATGGTTGGTTTAATAATCAAAGTTCAATTAATATTTCTTGATTCAAATTGCCTGCTGCAACAGATTTGGCATTTGATTTTGTTCCACTAGAAGTTGATTCGGTGTTTGATTTTGTTCCACTTGCAGTGATTGTTCCACTAGAAGTTGTTCTTGTCATAAAGCTTGTGTAGTTTGCCAAGATCTTTTCAAATGTAAATCATGGTGATAACCATCAAGAAGTGGATGATGACAACCAATAAGATGAATCATATGAGTCTGAGTCTGATAATGATAGCAACTTAGATTAGATTAATAAATTGTAATAAAAATCATTTGTTATTTAATACTTTTTGATTTTGAACTGGGAGATAAATATCAGTGGCAGTATATATAGGAAATTCGGTTAACAATAATATTTCTGTTTTAATTACAATCCTCTTTTAAAACATTGCATAAAAATGGCATATGGCAAGTCTCCTAAGAAAACAGATCAAAAATAAAAAGGTCGAGAACCTAGGTTACCTTTATCAAAAAGCATTCAAATTTTAAGGTACTTTTGGTAGTTAACTAAAGAATATATAAACTAAATTTGAAATCAAAATTATTATTATTATTATTATTTTATTTGCATTCACTCCCAACAAGGCTGCAAGCAACCACTATTAAGTTGAGAGTTACTAGGAAAAAAAAGAACAGAGTTATAGAGCAAGGAAACGGTTGACAGAAGACTTGAAAAGTTGAAGGTTGTATGAGTCAGGAAAACATGAAGATGGGAGAGAGTTCCAAAGGATTGAAGTGCGGGGAAAAAAACTAGATGAATAAAAGCCTTTAGAGCATGCAGGGACAGACACAGTAAATGAATGAGACTTAGCTGAATGACGAGTAAAATGAGAATGAATTTTAGTTGATGGAACTAGAGATGATAACTCCTTTGAGCAGTGACCATGATAGTATCTGTAGAAAAGAGAAAGAGATGCAATTTTACGACGATGGGAAAGAGGTTCAAGCTTAGCAGATAGTCCAAGTTCAACAACATTTACATTGCGTTTTTGGGCCTTGTCAAGAAGAGAAAGTGAATCGTTAGAAGACCAGCCCAAATATGACAACAGTATTCAATACAGGGACAAATAAGAGATTTGTAGAGGTAGAAAATAGAATCAGAAGTAAGGAAATGGTGAGCACGATAAAGAGAAGCAAACTTAGCAGAAGCTAATTTAGCAATCGATTGTATATATGGTTTCCATGAAAGGTCAGTAGTAAGCGATAATCCAAGAAGACGTAAAGAGAAGGACTCAGTAAGAGGATTGCCATTCATTAATATAAGAATGTTGACCATATTACGGTAGTTGTTTGCAGTAAGCAACTGGGTTTTGTTAGAGTTGAAATTCACAAGCCACTGTGAACCCCAATCTATTACTGAAGTGAGATTGGATTCAAGATCAGCTGCTTGTTCTAGGCGATCGAAAAGAGAAGACTTTTTGTCAAGACAGGAGTATAAAGTTGAGTCATCAGCAAAAAGAGCTACTTAAGATGAAAGGTTGTCAGGAAGATCGTTTATGTAGATAAGAAACAAAACAGGGCCCAGGATGGAACCTTGGGGAACCCCAGAAGTTACTGGAAACAAAAAAGAGTGTTGGCCTTCAAGGATGACTTTAATAAACCGGTTAGAAAGAAATGATTTGATAATCTCAAAAACTTTCGCAGAAACACCATATGAAGCAAGCTTATGGAGAAGACCAGCATGCCAAACTTTGTCGAAAGCTTTAGATATGTCGTGAGCAATAGCCCTAGCCTCACCGCCTCCATCTAATGCATGATAAAATCTTTCAGTTTCAACAGTTAGCAAGTCATCCGTAGAACGAGAGGATCGAAAACCATATTGATTGTCTGACAGCAGTTTATTTGACTCAAGATGAGATGTGAGGAATTTGTTGATCATTTATTTGGGCATAATTAAGAAACAATATCATAACTAAAAAAAAAAAAGAAAGTCATTTTAATTTTTTTAATAGAAACCACCCTGGTTAAAACTATAGGATGGTTTCTATATAAGCCAAAACTTTGACCTCAATTATCTGATTATTGGGACCATGTAAATTTGGGAACTTTTTTTTGTGATTAGTTTATTTAGATCTTCACAAAATTTTTTTTTGAAATTTAGTTACTAAATGTGTATAACGAACGTCTTTTTTTTGAAAGCTTTTTTTGCAACAGATGTCAGCCTATTGACTGAAGTTGCATTTTATAAAAGACATTTTGATAAATTCAAAATTTAAATTTTTTTATTTATGTTTTAATAACTAGTACCATTAATCAGTTTAAATATTACTATTTTTTATTTTTTAATGTTAGTAATTTATTTCAAAAGTGGTTTTCCTTTTTTTTTTTTTTTTTTGTCTCAAACTTTAACTAGTTTTTTTCATTATAATTCATAAAATTGAAAATTTCAGAAATAATTTTGTTTAGGTGTAAAACAGTCTCAGAACTTGTGTGGGATAAAGATGATGTTGTTTCAATGGATTTTGTTGCTGCAGCTGCTAACATACGATCTTTTATTTTTCATATTCCAGTCAAAAGCAGATTTGATATTAAAGCTATTTCTGGTATGTAGTTTATAAACCTTTATGTAGTTTATTAATATGACTGGCTTATTTATATAATCAATAAATTAAAAATGATTTTATTTATTTTTCACTTTTTTTTTTTCACATTTTAAGGCTTTTCTTTTAACTAATCTTTTTTTTTTTTTACATTTATTTGCTATTGCAAATGCTTGGTTTATTGGTGGGTGGCCTACATAGCATTTCCCATAACTAACTATTATCATATAACATGTGGTTAACAAGTAGTTACAAATTAGATTCTGATCATATCCCTGGTAATATTGCACTTAACTCATTACATCGGTCTCAATACAGCGGCCTTGTTTAAGGTTTGTATTTTAGAATTTAATGGTTGAAAGAGGGATTTGAAACAATATAAAAAATTAAAGAGATCTGTTCTTTAGTGATCCCCAATACATATTCACTTTCTGTGAATACAGTGAGCATGTATTTATTATTTAATTTTTTAACCCAATTAAGTAAACTTCAAAAATTGATGAGATAACATAAAATGTATAGCAATTATTTGAACATAATCTCATAACATAAATTTCATAAGTATTTATAACATAAAAATATAATAAAAGTGCAAGCTGGTATCATAGTTAAGCTGGCAACATTGCACAGTGGCTGTGACAAAAGTCAAAAAACTTATGTTCTTTAAAAATTTTTTTTTTAGATATGTGTATAGTCTATAACATGGCCTTTCCAAAATGGATGTTATTTTTCTAAAACTCTAAAACTGTTTTTACAGTTAAAATCTAAAGAGTGGTCTTTTTTTTATATTCAAAATAACTAAAAATTTGATAAAAAATATGTTCAACTTTATTTCTTCACAAATTTAAAATTAATTTTATTCGTTGCGCTTTTTTTAGTAAATTTTGAAATATATTTATAGCTTATTATTTTCTTGTAATAATAACAAAATATAAATGTAAATTATCTTTTTTTTGTATTGTTTAAAATAATGTGTAAAAAATCTTTATTACAAATATCAGATATATATATATATATATATATATATATATATATATATATATATATATATATATATATATATATATATATATATATATATATATATATATATATATATATAACCTAACAGTTATTAGAACACAAGCGAACACATTTTTAAGTATATACAGTAAATGATTAACATGTTTACTATGAGGTAAAAATAGTTTTGGCTGCTACTTCTTGCAACTTTGAGCACTGTCAAAGCTCTAAAGCTGGAAACATTTTGTTTAACCCCCTCACTCTGAGGGGTTTTTAATATTTGATATTAATGTAACTTAAAAATTTCAAAAAATTTGTTGATGAATTCTGTTAATTTTGATAAAATGAGGATGATAAAAATATGTTTATTCTTAAATTTGAGAACTGACTACCTGTATGGAAATAACTAACATTAAAGTTTTATCACTTAAGTCAAAGTTGCTTTTGATTTTAAATTATTACTTAATTTTATTTGCGTTATACTGTTTACTTTTTTTTAGCTGTAATATTTTGAAATATTTTGAAATATACAAATGTATCAGGAATAATCAGTTCTCAATTAATGAAGAGTTTTCCGTTTGATAAAGCTACGCAATATTCTGAATTTGATGGTTCAACTAGTCAAAGGATTTATAAACAAAAATTATCATAAAGCAGTTCTCGTAATTATAAAATGTAAATTTTTTATTTTTGATTTGATGTTCTGTTAAAGCTATTTACAAGTATAGATAAAAAAAAGTTATTTTATGGAGAAATTTAAAGCCATTCTGAACCATTTATTGTAGATCTCTGAGTTTTTAATTTAATAAAGTAACTAAATCTGTGTCGATTGATAAAGCAAGTACACTTAAAAACGAAATGGCAAATTTGATTCCATCCATCATTGTTTTGGAAGGGCAAAAAATATCTATTACAAACCATATCGAAATCATGATTGATGAAAAGGTGCACACACTTATCCAACGCAACTAACTCTAGTCAGTCACGTTTTAGTGCATGTAGAAATAAATGAAATTGAAATTGTTATTAAAAAAGCATTCTACTCATATTATATTTAAATGTTTGTATTTTATATAAAACAAAAATTAAATCTTAGCAAGCATGATCTTGCCAAGAATTCAGTAACGGATCAAAGAGTTTAATTCAGAAAAGGTTCTTGGACAAAACTTAGATTGATAGTAGATCAATCAAGACCATGTGGTAGTGGGAACGCTAAGGATAGTTTTTTTAAAATGAAGACGTTATTAGTGAAAATACGGGAATTGATATGTGCTAATTTAAAAATTTCATGTTATACTTTGTTGAATTTTCAATGGTTCTGATGTAAACATTTTAAAGTTTCACTATTATTGTTTTAAAACTGCCAGATATTTTGTTAAATTTTACTCCTGGTACTACATGCCTCAAAGTCTGCATAAATATTAATACATGGATATCGGATACCTTTTAGTGGAAAAAATGATATTGTTTATTGGTCTTTTGTAAGAGGAAACTCTTTTCTTTTTTATTAAGTTTTAAAATTTTTATGATATATAAATAAGTTATGATTTCTGTTTGTTTTGTTTTATTCTAAATTATGTATAGTTTTATTGCATTTAGGGCTGTCATGAAACAAGTAATAAATTTATGTATAAAAAAATTGATTGTTTAACTAATATAAATTTTAATTAAATATATTGCTATGGTTACTTAGTTTTGCTATGCAAAATTAATAAACCATATAGTTTGATAAACCATAGGTGACACACCACCTAATTTCGCTCTGCAAAATTAAGTAACCATAGTAAACAAATATAAAAAATCACTTTTATAAGAAGCAGAGACCTCATATTAATACACCTGTCAAATATAGTGTGCACAAATGAAATAAATAATATAAACAAATATATAATATATGACCAAGTATATATTTGATAGCTATATATGAACAAATTTTTTTTCATTTAAAGTTGATCACCAAATCAATGAGGAAATACTTTTAAAAAGAACAGACCTATCTCTATCATAATATTGGAATAAGAAAATAAACACACAGATATTATTTTCTGACATAAGGTTTAAGTAAAGTGAACAATGGAAAAAAAAGTTAACTTTTAGTGATTGGTTTAGGTTGAAAAATTTTTGAAAAACTTTTACAATTTTGTGTTCGCTGAAAATTTGAACTACCAAAGTATTGATATTTTCAGTAATAATTTTGGTTTGTTTTGAAATTCCAAATTTTTATCTTTAAATTAAATGAATTTATAACAAAAAAATTTTGCAAAAAATATAAAATTTTACCTTACATATGTGGTTCTAAAAATGGAAAAATAATTTTAAAAGTTCAATAAATATATAAAGTTAAATCCTGGTATGTAATCAACTAATTTAAACTCGAACATAATCTGTTTTCTTTGGTCCAGGAAATCCTCTTATATATTTAATAGAATTCCACTTATAAAATTCTTAAGCAAAACTGAAATAAAATGTTTTTTCAAAAATTTCACAAAAAAAACTTTCTTGTAATGCCCTTGAAACTAATTAAAATGAGGTTTCTATTTAAAAAAAATAATTTTAGTTTCAGTAGCTTTTTAGCTGAAATTTTGGTTTAAAAATTTTGTTAGTTTTAGTTTCAGCTAAAAATTGATTTTGATCATTCATTATTAACTTACTCTATAGTAAAAAACTAATTAAAATTTAAATAATAAATCTTTTATAAAACAAACAATATATAAACAAAAATCTAAATGAAAGGACTTTTTGAATAAGTTTTAAGCGCATAACATTTAATTCCTAAAATTGTAAAAACAATTCTTAATATTAAATGTAAATGTTATATTTTTATTATATTAGTTTATTATTGTTAAATTTTTTTGTCAATTTTTTTTTCTGACCGGATGCTCACCTCTAACAGTTTAAGGTCGGCAGTTTAGTTGACCTCATTTTCCTATAAAAAACACACTCCAGCATTTTTTTGAAAACTTTGTATGCATTTTTTTTAAATTGCTGTTATACCCCTCTCTTGACCTTCTAGCTCTAAAACAAGAACTGTTACAAACAAGGATGTTGTTCCTAAAATAATTTTAAATTTTTACAGAGTTTCAAAATATATTTTTATGTAAAGCTTTTAGGTGGATTTGAATTAGGGTTTAAATTTCTTCAATAATAATATTTTTGTTTGTGGGACAATCAAAACCTTATAAATGATCATTTTATTTAAAATAATATTAGTTTATTTTTAATATTTAAATTAAGTTTTGATGCTGTAGTATGGGTTATAGAAGTTTCTTTAAGTGTTTTTTTTTTTTAATGTTTTGATTTTTAAACAACTCAAATTTACCGAATAAATATGATCAGTTAATTATTCAATACAGTTAAACTGTTTGATACTTTTTTTATTGACAC